TTTCCTATTTGGGGTCAAGGTGAGCCCCAATCTTCACGGTCTTGGAGGGGTCATTGAGGCCGTGGCTGACCTCCTTGACTTCCTTGGACTTGGCGGAGGCACGAGGAGGCTCCAGCTCTGGGATCTCCATGTCGTCGGCGGACATCGTCTTGTCTTCGATGACCACACTGGCCATCTGGATGGAGAGGTCGGTGGCTTCAGCGAGGGTGAGACTCTCTGTCTCGCAGGCATAGGCGATGGAGAGGTTGGCCCACAGGGCTAGAACTCCTGCAGGCGATGGCATCTTCAGCACTAGATACACATAGTACGGTACGGCCATGAACTTGGCCAAAGCTGGCCGACCAAGTATGGCATGGTAGGCGGTGTTGAAGTCGGCGACGTAGAAATTGATGTGTTCGACGCGGTAGTTGCTTGCCGTGCCGAACTATACTGGTAGGGTAATCTCTCCAAGCGGTTTGGAGGGCCTGCCAGGTACCACACCCCAAAAGGAGGAGTCGGAGGGTGTGAGATCTGACAAACCGAGGCCCAGCTCCTTTAGGGCTCTGGCGAAGAGGAGATTTAGAGCGCTCCCACCGTCGACGAGCACTTTTCTGAAGAGCACCTTCTGGACGGTTGCATCGAGGACGAGGGGGAAACGCCCTGTGTAGGGAATATCCGCCCACTGGTCGGCCCTGCTGAAGGTGATGGGGACCTCGGACCATGGGCGATAGCTGGGGTTGGCGGTGGCGTCTTCCGTAGTGACGGAGAGCACCCGCCGTGCGGCGAGCTTCCGTTCTCTTTTGCTCTCAGTGGAGGCGAGGCCCTCGAAGATGGTGGCGACCACCTTGTCATGGTCCTGGAAGGCATTGTTGTTGCCCACAGGTGGTCGGCGACCCCTAGCTCCATCGTTGGTGTCGTCGTCCAGCTTCTTGTCCTAAAACTCCTTAGCCAAACCAAGGTAGTTCTTCATCTTATGTTTGGCATTCTTGTGAAGAGGGCACGGGCCGTTGAGGATCTTTTGGTACTGTTTGTTGTAGTTGCGCTTAGCGCGAGGTTGACTGACGGCGGCGACGATGTGGTCTGGCCGATGGCGGTGATTTTGGCCAAACTTGGGTCCTTCTGGCTGATCATGACCACTATCACGATGATAACTGCGGTCGTCGAAATGGCGGTCATTATGGCATCGGTCGTTGGGGCGATCGTCGTAGCGGCGAGGTGGGCGATGAGTGCCCGCATCCTCGTTGAAGCGCACCTTGGCTTCCTCGGTGTCGGCGTACTGGTTGGCAGTAGTGATCATCTCGCCGATGCCTGTGGGCGGCTTGCGGCTAAATTTGGAGCGAAGCTCATGATGGTGGAGTCCTCGGATGAAGGTGGTGATGACCTCAGCTTCAGTGATGTTGGGAATAGGGTTCCTCATCTCGAAAAAGCATCGAATGTAGCTGTGGAGGAGCTCGGACGGCTTCTAGTTGATGCGGTTGAGATCACGCTTGGTGCCCGATCGAGTACACATGGGCATATAGTTGTCGGTGAAGACTTTCTTCAGCTCTTCCTAGGATCCGATGGAGTCTAGGGCAAGGCTGGTAAACCAGCTCATGGCGGGTGGCTTGAGCATGACGGGGAGATAATTCGCCATGACACTGGTGTCTCCTTCGGCGGCGTGGACAGTAGTGGCGTAAGCCTGCAACCACTGTGTCGGGTTCATCCTTCCTTCATAGGGCTCGACCCCAGTGATGTTGAAACCACGGGGCCACCGAAGTGTTCAGAGAGCCCTTGTGAAAGCTGGGGGCCCTCAGGGTTGTCGGCGCCGTCATCTGTAGCGTTGTCGTCAGCGATCGGCTCGAGGGCTGAGTCCGGGTTGCCATACTCCTGCTCGTACTCCTGGTAGCGACATACTTCGTCTTCATGGCGACCGAAGCTACATTGCTCGATACGCCGTCGTGCATCCCGGAGGTTGCTGAGGTGCACTCGAGCGTCCCGTTTGACCTCCTGGTCGTGTTGGCGATGGTGTTCGGCGCGGTGGCCCATGGCTCCCCCCTGGAGAGGCAGCGACTGGTCGGCGAAATGGCTTTGACTAGGGCGGCGATTAGATCTCGGCGTAGCTGATCGATGAATCATGCTCATAGAGCACGAAGGTCTTTGATCCTCGCGAATCTCATTAACCTGACAGTGTGCCGCTTTAAGCATGGCGGCGACCTTGGCGGGCTCGGGCGTCTGCGGGAGGCGAGCGAGCTCATTGGCGGCTACTGCCAGATTGGTGCTTGGAGTCTTGAAGACGTCATGGCTGCCAGCATGGAGAAATTCTTCGTCGAGATCGCGGTGGAGCGGGAGCGCCTTCCCTGTGAATCAAGCCGATTATTGTGAGCAGCCTCGGCCCTCGCAATGGCCGCCTCATTTTCTCGATGCTGGGCGTGGTTGATGTTTTGGTTCTCACGAGCGACACGCTCCTCCTTGGTTTCGCCGTTCCGAGGAGGGCTATCGACGCTGATGTTGAAGATCGCGCCACCCCGGAAGGGTGGGAAAAGGAGTTGCTCGGTGAAGGTTTCGGCGAGGGTCTCCATAGAGCCCTGAGACTCGGAGCCCGGATTTTCCTCCGGAATGGTCTAGAGGGACGCTCCGGGGCACCGGCCTATATGTAGAATGTTGACGGCTGGAGGAAACTGGACAGCGATCTGGTCGGCGAGTGGGTGGGCGCATCCCACCTGGTCGGTGAATTTGCCCCTCAGGGCGTCTTGGTAAGTGGCGGCGACGTTGGTGAGCCCGAAGGGCAGAGCCGCAACTCCTGGAGTTTTTCGGGCAGCCTCGATAGATTTGGATCAGAGGATGGTCGGCGTTGAACCAAAGTGTCCAGAGCCGATTCGGCGATGGAGAGACAATCGGCGAGCTTCAGACCGACCCGATCGATGGATTCGATCAGATCGTCGTTGTTGATCTACCTCCTCTGGTAGCGAGGAAGCGAGCGGCGAGTTGTTGATGAAGGAGACCTCGGAAGTGGTTCCGAGATCGGATCTGCAGTCGTAGGTGCGGGGATGATCGGAGCAGAATCGATCTGCACCGGCTCAAGGAGCTCTCCGACTCCGTCAGCGTTGATGATCCACGAGATCGATCCGACCATGAAGATCTGGCCGGGCTACGGGAGGGACGAAGAGCTTGCGGAAAAAGCCATCTTGTTCGACAAGGAAACAGCACGCAAACCCCTACCTGGCGCGCCAACTGTCGACAAAATATCGTCGGTAGTCCTCCGAGGGGTATCTCACGAAGGTAGATTGATCGGCAGAGGAGCGTGAGATCAAGAACAAGAAGGCAATAGAGACACACGAGTTAGACAGGTTCATGCCGTCAGTATGACGTAATACCCTACTCGCTGTGGTCTGTTAGTTTGTATTAGCTATCATATGATATTGCGTGAGTTTGGAGGGGGTCCTTGCCCGCCTTATATCGTCCGGGGAGCAGGGTTACAAGTCGGTTAGATCTAAGAGATAATCGAAAAGTAATAATTGATTATAAGAATCTTGGGATCATACATATCTAATAGATGTCGTAGTATCTTCAGGATATCTTTCTGATGTCTTTCGGGAGCCGCCGAGCAGAGTCGTGCCCCGCAAGGCGTTATCTTGTGGGCTAGGCCGCCCCTGAGGGCATAACCCATGTGGTATGTCGTGGGTATCCGAGGTCGTACCCCCACAAAGTGATACTTAAAAGAACAAAAAGAATATATTTAGTTGTTCTTTCAGTTATATTATTCTATTTTTATTAATGATTACTAGTATATTTCAATCTACACCCACTGAATTCCCACAATAGGGCCATGTTTAGTTCCCCCAATTCGGCGCCGACAATATACTGCAGCGCACTGTAGCACAATGTAGCATTCGTTTGTATTTGGTAATAATTATCCAAACATTGACTAATTAGGCTCAAAACGTTTGTCTCGCAAAGTACAATCAAACTGTGCAATTAGTTTTTGATTTCGTCTACATTTAGTACTTCAAGCATGTACCGCAAGTTTGATGTGACCGGAGAATCTTTTTTTTACGTAGTGCCAAATTCAGGAATTTTGGCCTAGAATGCATGTTGAATTCATGTCTAAACTACGGAGTACAAAAGTGACGCACATCAAATGAATGGTCAACACAAGAAGACAAATGTGGAAAGATGAGTATGGGGATTTCAAATATTTAAAAACTTCTGTACGTTATCTCCAAATTTCATGTCCACCAAAAGGAAATCCAGAGTTAATAAGGGACTTGAAAACCGGTGGATTTGTCGACAAAGAGCGCAAAGTCAAATCCCACACACAAAAACAAAAGTCAGTGCTGCGGTGGGCTGACAGACCCTGCATTTAATAAACCCCTCTGAACCGTGGACTTTGCCAATGCCCCCTTTATTTTATTTTTTATAAAATAAATTCTGGCACCGAAAAGACCAAAACACAAGCAAAGCCAGCAAGCGCGACTGTCACGGTGTCTCCTCTCCGATCAAATCCACATCGGAACAACCACTGAAAAGCACGCGGTTCCTACCCGTCCGGCCGCCGCCATCAACACCACCGGTGGGAGGTGCCTGTCGCCGCTTCTTGGCTCCGGCCCGGAGCGTCCCTCCCTCCCCTCGTTCTGCAGTTTTCAACGGCGGTTGGGTCCCGTCAAAAAAAATATAATCCTCCCGTCTCTCGGAAGCCGGCTTTCTTGACTAATCGGCGGCGGAATTTCGCGGCCTGGGTTTGGCTGCCTTGTCTTGTTCCTCCCCGTCGGTACTTGCCTGGTGGTTGATACCTTCTATTCCCTTCCCTTGTTTGGTGTTCAAAAGGGCGCATTTCCCACTTGGTTCTTGGTTTGTTGGAGGTCGTCACCTTCTTCCTGCTTTGATTTTTTTTCTTCGGCGGGAGCGTCGTCAACGCGACGACTCGAGCGGGTAAGATTCGTTCCATCTTTTCAGTGTCCATTTACTTCGTTGTTATCGCCGGCGACGGACGCCGGCGTCGGGTGGGATTGAGCGATATTCACGGCCAATTTCGCATCTTACAGGTGCTCGGCTGGTGGAGCTACTTGTCGCGTCGGCATTGGTCATCATGGGCGGCGTGTGTTCGGCGGGGATCGCCGGGGACAAATCGCCGACGGAGCTCTCGTTCCGAGCGATGGGGTTCGTGGTGGAGCAGGATTTCAGGGCCTTCTCAGCCGCCAGCAATAACAAGACCGCGCCCGTCGAGGAGGCGGTGGATCCTAACCAGGTGAGCGATCAGTCATTTCGTCTGTCGGAGAAGGTCTCGCCGCCGTCCACGAGCGCCAAGACTCGTCGCTCGGTCTCCAAGGAACCGCATTTGACGCATACCGAATCGCGGAAGGCCAAGGCTGGCAAGCCTAGGAGAAGCACCTCCGGCAAGGCCGGTCCGAGCAAGGCAAGTCTTTCCTTCTGGATTTACATGTGCTTGTATAATTGTGCATCCAAATTGATTAGTTCATTGTTGGGAAAAAAATGCTGGATCTTGCATTAAGACTTAGGTGTTGCATTACATATTTACATTATGTAATGAGTAATGACAATAATTTTGCTGAAAATAATGTTACTTTGTGATCTTATTGGTAATGAGAGGAGCTAAGTTCTGACACTGTAGCATGAACCTTGTGTCAATCTTTCGAAGAAGCTTGTTTTGCCAGGTTTCGTAATGCTTCTGTTTTTCTCAACTCTTCTTGCAGGTTTCAGACATAGGCATAGCGCTTGGTAGAAAGAGTACCTCTGGACTTGGGAAAGCAGTAGAGGTTCTAGATAATCTGGGCAGCAGCATGTCAAGTTTGAGCCCTGGAGGTGGTTTTGTGGCGGGACCAACGACAAAGGGGAACAAAATATCAATCCTTGCATTCGAGGTTGCAAACACAATAGTTAAGGGCATGAGCCTCATGCAGTCTTTGTCCAAAGAAAGCCTGAACTATTTGAAGGACATGGTCCTTCTATCAGAAGGTGTACAACGTTTAGTTTCAAGCGACATGGATGATCTGATGAGAATTGCTGCAGCCGACAAGAGGTTTGCCAACACATATATTAGCATTTTAACTCTGTGATGGTTTAGCGGATGTTATAGCCCAACTTTAACGTTCCTAAATAATAAAAGGTTTCATATTCTTTGCAGGCAAGAGCTGAGTATATTTTCACGAGAAGTCATAAGATTTGGGAATCGTTGCAAAGATCCTCAGTGGCACAACCTAGATCGTTATTTCTCCAAGTAGGTTCCCACCGTTAACATGGCTTAATGATTGATTCCTAGTGTAATGATCTCACTAGTCCTTGTGTTTGTTTCCAGGCTAGGGTCAGAAATTACACCCCAACCAGAATTAAAAGAAACGGCAAAAGCACATATGCAGCAACTGATGACCCTTGTTCGACACACTGGTGTGAGTATTACATACGTTGACAAAGTCTCTAGTGTTCTTACAGAAAACAAACTGTGTTTGATTACATTTCTTTGGTTTTTGTTAACCTTTGCAGATCATGCAGTCCATTTGATTCCTCTAGCCTTTTCTGATTTGGTTGCTATTTCACTACTTGTCCCATAGGATCTCTACCATGAATTACATGCATTAGATAGATTTGAGCAAGATTATCGCCGTAAATTGGAGGAAGAGAAAAGATCAGTTACATTTGAAAGGGGTATGCCGATGTTCATCCATGTATCTCCCTTGTAGTTTCAGATGCTATTTTGCTGCCAGTCCAATTCCCTGATCCTCATCACACTTATAACTGACTGCCATGAATGAACAGGGGACACTGTTCAGATTATCAGACAAGAACTGAAGAGCCAGAGGAAGCATGTACATAATTTGAAGAAAAAGTCTCTTTGGTCTAAGTCTCTTGATGATGTAAGTAGTTCATATGCAAATCATGCACAAGATGAAGTGTACACAGATGGAAATTTTCTAATTTTCTGCTTTTAACGGGTAAGATGAATGATGCAAATTGTACCTCCTATTTGTAGGTCATGGAGAAGCTTGTAGATATTGTCCAGTTCTTACATGTCGAGATTCGAGATACTTTTGGGCCTTGTGGTAAGGTTGCTCGCCCACTCTATATTTGTCATCAAACCAGTCATGGTTACCACCTAGTAATTACTACTAACTTGCCTGTTTTGTGTTCTTTTGTTCTTGTAGATGGAGAGTCAAACGAATCGCAAGAGAGCCGTCAAACATTGGGGTCTGCTGGTCTCTCTCTTCACTATGCTAATATCATTTCTCAGATTGACAATATTGTAAGTGTCTCAAGTTTACTCAAATATATTTTGCTACCTCATTTCTCTTTTGCATGTGTCCACATTGGTCAGCTACATCTATTTTTCATATTCAAATTATCAATAGGTTATGCTGAAACTAGCAGACCAAATATGCTGTATATATTCTCTAGATATTTGGTTCTACAGTCCACAACCTGTAGCCATATTGGTCAATGATGTTATAGGATAAGGTTCAAAAAGCCCATTGGGTTACTACATTCTGAAACTTCGAGATCTTCGCTTTAGAAGTGCTATTTTTATTTTTTACAGCCAATCAGTCATCATACAGAAATCTTGCAACTTTTGTTCTGGGAAAAAAAAGGAATGTTGTCATAGTTACAGATCTCATGCTACCAATGAGCATAAATGCATAATTGGAACATACTTTCAACAAAATACTTGTTGAACAGTCCTGGGGAACTGTTTACTGACTGATATTCGCGTCGCTGCTTAAGGTTTCCCGAAGTTCTGTCCCCCCTCAAAGTACAAGAGATGCACTCTATCAAGGTCTGCCCCCAAATGTCAAGTCTGCTCTTCGAACAAGACTACTAACTTCCACAGAATCTGAAGAGGTACTCTGATGCTGTGGAATATGATGCTCCATTATCCACATTGATAACATCCACACGGGAGCTTTATTTTTCTAAACATTATTTCCTGCTGCGTTAGGTTCCGATCACTAAAATCAGGAGTTCGATGGAGAAAACTTTGCAATGGATTGTCCCGGTTGCCAATAATACGGCCAGGTACTTCAAATTGAATTGCTTTAGCTACCAAAAAAAAGTAGAATCGACTCTGATGTTAACCCTTGTTTGTAATGCTATGAACCAGAGCGCACCATGGATTCGGATGGGTTGGCGAGTGGGCGAACACAGGGTAAGATAAGACGCTCATCAATTCTTCTTTTTCAAGAGTAATTATTATTCTCAAAGTACTAAGCTAAATGTGTGTCCCCAAACTGAAGAACTCTCCGATTCGTGCTTGTGCAGGAATGATCCGTCACGGAAACAGGCTGGTCAACCTGACGCGCTGAGGATCGAGACCCTGTATCACGCGGACAAGGAGAAGGCCGACGCGTGCATACTGGACCTGGTGGTGTGGCTCCACATCCTGATCAGCTACAGCAGGCCGCCTAACAACAGGTCACCGAGCCGATCCCCCGTGCGTTCGCCGGTGCACTTGGGCGTGGCCCCGGCGGTGCCAGCAGCAGCATCGTCCAGGGGCCCAGCTGCTCCTGGGCTCACCCGAGAAGACCGCGAGATGCTGCAGGACGCATACACCCGGCGACGGTCCGCTGGGACGACTGGGAAGAGCAAGAGCCAGGAGCTGTCCACGGCGGCGGCGGCGGGCCGCGGCCACAGGCTGGCGCTGAGCAGGAACGACAGGCTGAGCAAGAGCGGCAGCCACTGCTGCCCGTCGGCGTCGCGGGAGCGGGAGCACGGCGGCGGCAGGGTGTTCCCCCTGGCGACGGGCAGGTCTCCCGCCTCGTCGTCGCCCGTGGCTGTTGGCTTCGACATCGACCGGATCAGGTTGGCGCTGGACGTGATGGACAGAGTGGATGTGCAGCAGAAGCAACCGTGAGGCTGGTCACTGCATGCGTGTCTCGTTCAAGAAACGCAGTGAAGTGTGAGTGTAGTATGCATGGCGTGGATGTTTGTGAGTGTGAAGTGTTGATGGGAAGGAAGGGAGAGGTGTAGTAGGCGAGGTTTAGGAATGGGAAACCAAGATTTCGTGAGTGATCATGTGGATTACTAGCATATTAGCATACATAATGCCTGCAGAAACACTGCAGGATGGATAGCGCATATATATATACACATGCATGCATAGGTAAGATTTTTCTCCTTTTTGTTTGTCTTTCTCTCGGGCGGTCAGTATTTGTATATGTACCGTGCCAAATCATCAGGCCAAACAAACTCTGTTGCTTGTAAGCTGTAATAACTGTATATATTATTGTACATACAAGTCGTGAAAATGCAGTAGGCATGCACTCCCGGTGCAAGTGGAGTAGTAAAGCCGTAAAGCATGCTCCTGCTTTGGGCTTGTTGACATTGCTGGGAAGCCATCCAAGATTGCTGCGGCGTTTATGCATCGCCAGATCACAGATCTGTAGGCCAGGAGACGAAAGCTGCAAGCAACTTGTGGATGGCTATTCCTGCCACCATGCCTTGCCTGGTGAGTGGTGACTGCACTGCAATAGAGTAGTACATGCACATGCTCATGACCTTGAGAGGCAAAGGCGATGCTGAAGCAACGTGAGCGTCAGGAAGTGCTTGCGATACCGCTCGCATAGCCGGAACCCGGACACCGGAGAGATCAGATCAGTGAGGAAGCGTCAAGAGACGGACAATTCAGCTGAAGAGCGAGCGAATGCTGCGTCAGCAGAGTAGAGAGGGACGTCGACGCGCGCGGATGATGTGGGGGGGTGGACTGGTGGCTCCGTGTCTGTGTCTGTGTGTGTGCTACTACATACCAGGTAACCGCCATGGGAAGCGGACGATCTCGCCGTGCGTACCACTACGGCACTACCAGCTCGATAGCCCCTGCCCTGCTAGCTATAGCTGGTCCATATATATGCGCCTAGAGTTGTTGCCTGTATCTCTGTCGTATGTACCCATGCGGCTCGGCGATGTTCACAATGCGCCCGCCGTTGCATGCTTGCGATTCTCCATCCAGTATTTCCGCCATTGCTGACGCAGTGACGCAGCGTGGAATGCCATGACGACGACCCTTCGTCTTTGCATCACATCACATGGGTGACGGCTCAGAGACAAGCAAGCAAGCAATGGCATACATACGTAGGTGTGTCCTCGATAGACATTGACCTTCGTAAACAGCCGCTTCAACACCCGTTCCACACGTCGTATATATGGTGTGAATGTTAGGTTACGTTTTTCTTTTGGGAGCAAATGAAGGTTAGGTTACGTGCCCGGTGCCCGCAGGAAATCCAGCCATAGGGTCCACAGGCGCCTCCATCAAAGTTGATCCAAATGCAACATACCGAAAGAAGCGGGCAAGCTGGACCGTGTGCCAGGCGGGATGATGGCCTTGCGACCTGCTGGCCGGGGGGCATGCATTACGTGCGGCGCATGCCATGTATCCGTGTCACATGCATGCTGGACGACGTAGACGTTAGAATTCCAGTATTTATACCTACGTACGGCCACTGCCTTGCCAAAGTTACTCAATTTTCGTTCAAAAAAAAAAAAAGAATCACATGCTCTGCACCACAACGTAGACGTCCACAACACGCATGCACGCTCACTTTTTGGCAAAGAGTGATGTGTACAGATATTGTATTGGTGGAAGTACATGAGCAGGAATAGCACGCTTCCGCGGTTCCAAAATCAAAGGTTTTGTTTATTTTTATTTAGAAGATACATATAGTTTTGTACGTGTATATATATAAGTAATATATTACTATGATGATATGAGAAGAGATGTCCTAACCAATAATAATGGGAATAATACTGTAAAAAAATCTTAAATTTAGTTTTGAGATAAGCTATGATGTCGATTTATTTGCTGGAGATTGCAAAATAATAAAGTAGTGTACATGCAAAAATCTTTCATGTAATCTCGCTCGATGATTAACTAACGGAAAGCGATGAGGACGCGTCAGCACAGATATATTATTACGACTCCACGTGTTTCAGGCGAAAGTGCAAACGTCGAGTGACGACAACAGGAAGAGTGTGTCGCCCATTGGCGCGCAACTTTAATTTCTGACCAAAACCAACTAGTAAGTGCAACCGTACCTGTGCATTAAAACGTGTTGTTTAAGAACATAAGTGTCGGCTATCGATATTACGGATATCCAAAGCAAAGAAGTTAGCGTCCACGCTGACTTCTCGGATGGCTCGAGACGTATTAAAAGGTCTCGCCCGATTCTAAGGTCGTGGGCTCCGTCTCGCCCGACCCATTGGGTGCTGGCTCCGTCTCGCTCGACTCTAAGGACGCGGGTTGTCGTCTTGCCCAAGGCCGCGGGCCCTGTCTCGCCCTACCTCGAGGCCACGGGCTCCGTCTCTTGCCCGACCCCTTTGGGTGCGGGCTCCGTCTTGCCCGACCCTAAGGTCGCAGGTTCTGTCTCGCCCAAGGTCGCGGGCTCCGTTTCACCCGACCTCGAGGACGCGGGTTCCGTCTCGTCTGACGGGAACCCATACCGCCGCCAACCACTCTAGGTGGGCCTGAGTCAAAACTCTGACGCCAGGGAAGATGTTGGCATGCTTCGATGTAACCCGTGGCCATGACGGGTCATACCTGGAGATTCACATCAAGAACAGTGTCGGACGTGCCGGTGCTGTTTTGCCTAATCCTCGTACGGAGGCTGATAGACGCGTCAGTTCACCACGATGTCTGCCGGGATAGAGTGGAACGCCATGACCGGCAGATGATGCTTGCGCATGGCACCAGTGACGAACAGGGCCGCGACATGGAGCCGTCCCTATTGACATCTATAGGATCGGCGGGACCCGCATGAAGGAGAAGAAGGACCCGGCAACCCTGGAAGCCTTCTTCTCTCACTCGTTCTTCTCCTTTTTCTCCTCTGTAACCCGCGCTTTCCCTTCGCCTATAAAAGGAGAAGCAGGGCGCCCCATGGATCGAGATCTCGACACGGGGGATAAAAAACACAAGAGCACGACATGAGCACACGACTGGGCGGCAAGCGAGCTCTCAGCACCCGTTCACTCATTCCACAGAGACTTGGGATCCTCTCCCTCTGTCGCCTGTTTGTAACCCCTACTGCAAACCAAGTGTCGGTAACACGAGCAACAGCGAACTGGACGTAGGGACATTCCGCTCGAACCAGTATAAAACCTTGTATCCTCCGAGCACACCATCCGAGCCAGACGTGCAAATACAAATTTACTCATCGGTGGTCCGAAAACACCGATAGTTGGCGCGCCAGGTAGGGGCTTTTTACGCGTCTCGACGTCCACATCAGGCCTCGGATGGCTAGTCATGGCGTCAGCTAGGTTCCTAGTGCGCACGTGTGCTTCGGGAACCTGGACTTCATCGTTACGACAGAGGGAGAGTTGGCGCAGGTTCCCACCACTGTCCAGCCTCTCCACTCCGCTGGCCTCGATGCGATCGCCGAGGCACTTGAGGAGCTGCAGCTACACGCACTAGAGGCCCGCGCCCCTTGGAGCGACCAGCTCCTCGGTTTCGATTATGGGAGGCTAGAGCGCCAGCTCGGTGCCTTCCTAGGACCCCGACCATCTCGGTAGGACCTGCGCCGCCTCACCTTCTTGTTCGCCAACGTCATTACGTAGCTTGCCGGAGGAGAGCCGCTCTCCCCAGATTACATCATCTAGAGCACCCCGACAGCGCTCCCGTTCAGTCTACGCAACGCCGCAGAGACCGTTGGCCACCTTGTGGTGCAGCGCACGCCCCAATACATCGTGGAATCTTTCCACGACCTCTCGCGGGAGAATCGAAGTTGCCCTACGACTCTGACTCTAGCAAGGGGATCCATCCCCCCTCGGAAGAATGTTTCATGGAAGGTACCCTCGAAGGATACATCGAAAGCATCCACGAGGGAGGGGCTACCCCAACAGAAGACCTCGATGACGAGGTCGAGGGGGATGTAGGGACCCCGCCTCGCCTATGGGTAGAGTAGCTAAGGGCACGACACCAAGAGCTCGAAGAAGCATGACTCCAGCTCGAGCAGGAACGCGCAGAGCTCGAGCGCCATGGAGACGGTGGGCGTGCGCGCGTCGTGGCCCACGATGTGAATCGAAGGATCATCGAGGACGACGAAGCCCTCCCACACTTCACTCGGGCAAGCCAGAACATCGTTGCCATGACGACCTTGCTCCATGGGTTCTAGGGCCCGCGACACCCGAGGATCGTCGGTCCCATCGTGAGATTCGCACGCTACTCGCTGTTCCGACGACGCGAGCTCGACGCCAGCCAGCGCGTGCCCTTAGAGCGACTCGATGTGTTAGTCCACCAGGCGCAGCGAGGCAGTAGGCCGCACGCCGTGGCCCCGGTGAATGAGCGTCTCGGCCTCCATCGTGACGCGTGGAACACCCTGGATGCCCGTAGGCGTGCCCGCAGCGATGAGAGGGAGGAGGCTAGCAGTGGCTACCACCCTCATCAACGCGGACGCTACGACAACGGTGAGGACCGAAGCCTGAGCCCCGACTTGCCGGGACCTTAGGCCTTTGGCCGACACATCCTCAACGATGTCTTCCCACCGCGGTACAGACCACCGACCAACATCACGAAATACTCTGAGGAAACAAACCCTGGACTATGGCTCGAGGATTATTGGCTTGCTTACCAAGCTGGTGGAGCGGATAGTGACAATTTGATTATCCATAACCTTCCATTGTTCCTAACCGATTCGGCACGAACGTGGTTGGAACACCTTCTGCCCAACTGAATCCAAAGTTGGGCGGACCTAAAAGAGATATTTGTGGGAAACTTCTAGGGTACATACGTGCATCCTGGGAACCCATGGGATCTAAAAAACTGCTAATAGAACTCCAAGGAAACTTTTTATGGGTACATCCGGTGCTTCTCCCGGTAGTGCAATGAGCTGCCCGACATCGCCGACGCCGACATCATAGGAGCTT